GTTACTGTTTAGAAGTGTCGCCTTTCCTTGGGTTTGGCCTCTGTCCCAGTTCCCTCGCTTTGGGTATCCACGTGCTGGTCACGTCTTCCGGTGGTGACGCCCGAAAAAACACGCTCGCTCAACATCAGAAGCAGCACAGTCAAGGCAAAAGAGACAGTCGCGCCGTCAACATGTAATCTTTAAATTTATAATCAGTTCGCTTGTTTGTTGCTGAATATATCGTAAAAGTGAAACTACAACTACTCTATGCTTTATTTCTCGGCATGCTCAACCCTACTTCACAAAACATGGCGCCCAACGTTAAGGGACGAGCTATTTATCAATAAAGTGTTAAGAGTATTCGAGTAATTTCAACCAAGAAATCATCGAAGATGTCACAGGAAAATTCAGATGAAGATCAAATCAAGCGATTCATACACACGCGTGGTGGAAATCGTGCTGCCATTGCAAGACTGGAGAAGGAAATTTCGCAGTTGAAAGACAAAGAATTGACTGCAGAACTTTCGGTACGCATCAACTCGATTGCACTTTCGGTGTCACAAAAACAGCAGTTCCTTACAGGCCTAGACGAGAAAATTCTAGAAAAGATACCTTTAGAGCAAATGGACAAAGAAATTGACGATTCAATGGAATGGGATATCAGAATTACCACACTTTTACAGCACATCGAGGAGCTCAAGAAACCTAGCCTTCATCAGCCAAGTGTCCCGAGTACACAAACAACTACAGAAACCCAGCCAAGTCCAGCCATAGGAGCTTCGGCTATTTCAGAAGTGGAGTCTCAGAATCGCAGTTTCAGTTCCGTTTCTTCCACAAATGGAGTTCGTTTACCAAAAATAGAACTGCCAAAGTTCAATGGAGATATCACACAATTTAATTCGTTTTGGCAAGCGTTTAACTGTGCCGTACACTCAAACGACACAATACCAGAAGTTCACAAATTGAACTACTTGATGAATTTGCTCGAGGGTCCTGCTCATCGCGTCGTTGCGGGGCTCGAGTTAACTGAAGAAAACTACCAAAATGCTATCGAGACATTGAAAACTCGATTTGGTAATAAGCAGAGAATCATAAGTGCTCACATGCAATCTCTTTTAAAGTTGCAAGATTGCCCAAACGATAAAGTCGCTCAGTTGCGTTATATTTATGACAAAATAAACATCCATGTCAGAGGGCTTGAATCTCTCGGCATGTCTCAAGAAAGTTATGGTGGTTTGCTGATTCCAATTATTATGCAACGTATGCCCAGCGAAATCACCATCCAAGTCGCAAGGAAAGTCACAGAAGACATCTGGCCTATCAAAGAAATTCTAGAAATTATTCGTTGCGAAATTGAAGCCAGAGAATTAGGCGAAAGCGTTCTTGCTTCAAAGCAAGTCAATCGACAACCACATCCAACACAAGTGTATCGGAAACAGACAATTCCAACTACAAAATCATTCTTTGCCAACGAGCAGCAAGGAAAATGCTACCTTTGCAGTAAAGATCATCTCACTATAAACTGCAAGGAAATCATGGATTTGGAACAAAGGAAAACACTTTTACAAAAGGCAAAACGTTGCTTTAAGTGCTTGAAATTGGGACATTTCGCAAAAGATTGTAATCGCAAATGCAAGAAATGTGGTTATGGACACCATCAAGTGATTTGTAACAAATCAGAAGAAGGCACTGCAGAAACATTCGATCGATTGGTTACTGCAACTGTGAAAGGGAAGAAGGAGGTATTGCTACAAACGGCCAGGGCCAGTGCATTTGGTGAAGATCCAACAAAGAAGATGTCAATTGATGTCCTATTTGACAGCGGAAGTCAGAGAAGCTACATATCTGAAGAATTGAAGAAGAAACTCTCACTGAACGTTGAGAACGTTGAAACTATAAACATTAACACTTTTGGTTCAGATAAGTATAACAAGAAAAAATGCGAGTTAGTTTCGATTAACATAGAAGTAGAAAATCAGGTTATACCAGTCCGCGCACTTAGTTATCCCACTATTTGCTCGCCATTCGCTTCTCGCGGCATAGAAATAAGCGAATACCCGCATCTTCATACACTCAAGTTAGCAGACAGTGTAAATTCCCATACAAAACACGTACAGCTATTAATTGGGGCTGATCATTATTATGATTTTGTTACAGGTGATGTCATTAAAGGTAATTCAGGTCCTGTTGCGGTTAGCAGCAAGTTGGGGTGGCTGTTAACAGGACCTTTAAGTTCAACTTCGAACAATGTTGAGACTAACATTCATTCTCATCTTATTCTAGATCAATTTTCTATTTTTGACAATGAAGCAAATGAGCTTGAAAATTCAAACAGCGAGAATCTTGAAATTACAGAATCGTTGAAACAGTTCTGGAAACAAGAATCAATGGGATTGCCCGAACTTGTTGAAAACACAGAAACAGAATCGACAGAATCAGATGAAAAGAACGAACAGACCCCATTCGACATCAAATTCAATGGTGAAAGGTATGAGGTAAGCCTCCCTTGGAGGGCTGATATTTCGCATGAGTTATTATCAGATAATTATGATAAGTGTTTGATTCGTTTGAAAGGTTTATACAGTCGATTAAAAAAGGACCCAAAGCTCTTTTCAGAATATAACTCAATTTTTCAAGAGCAATTAGACCAGGGTATAATTGAATATGTTCCAAATAAACAAGGAATTACTGAAAACATTCATTATCTCTCTCACCATGGCGTTGTAAGAAAGGAACATGATACGACCAAATTGCGCATTGTGTTTGATGGCAGTGCTAAATCTCAGCCAAATCAACTCTCCTTAAATGATTGTCTTCAATTGGGTGATAATTATATGCCTTCTTTGTTTGATACGTTGTTAAGATTTCGTGCTCATTCTGTTGCCATGACATCCGACATAGAAAAAGCGTTCTTACAAATAGAAATCAAACCAGCTGATTGTGACTCGTTACGCTTTTTATGGTTTGACGACATTAACAAGGAGAATCCGTCTATCATCCAGCTCCGTTGGGGGCGTTTAGCCTTTGGCCTCAAACCATTGCCCTCAATCCTTGGGGCTACCATTAGACAACACGTTTCCTCCTTTGAAGATGAGTACCCGAAGGTCGTCAAGGTTTTGAGCCGACTTTACGCTGACGACATGTCTTGTAGTGTCAAGTCCACTGAGGAAGCACTAGAAATCTATAAGAAATCTAAAGAAATCCTGTTAAAAGGAGGATTCAATTTGCGTAAGTGGAAGACAAATAATAAAGAGCTTTCCGATAAGGTCAATATTTTAGAAGGTGTCTCCACAAGTACCTCTAAAACTGTTCCCAGGGTATCGGAGGACGACCAGTCCTTTACACAGTTTTCTGTCGGTCTGCCAAATTCCGAGAACAACACCAATATTTCAAAAATACTCGGTGTTCAGTGGAATCATGATTCAGACAAGTTTCTTCTTGATTTAAAGCAAATTTCTGAGTTTGCAAAATCTTTGCCACCAACAAAAAGGTCCTTGCTAAAAATTGCCGCAAAGATTTTTGACCCGTTGGGCTGTGTAAGTTCGTTTACCATCAATTTAAAGATCTTCTTCCAGGAATTGTGCGTTGAAAAGGTAGCCTGGGACGAGCCACTCAAAGATAACCATCTCAAGCAGTATAACACCTTAATATCCCAGTTGAGTGTCATTACAGCTATTAAACTTGAACGTTGTTTCATTAACCAAGAAGCCAGTGTTACAAAAATTGAAATCCACGCCTTTTCAGACGCCAGTGAGCGTGCCTATGCCACTGTGGTTTATTTAAGTGTTCTTTACAATACTGGTAAAGTAAGGGTACAATTTGTCGCTTCAAAAGCTAAGGTTTCGCCTATTAAAAAACAAAGTATACCGCGTCTCGAACTGCTCGGCGCAAATTTGATGGCGAAATTTGTCGAAACCATTCGTTCCGTGTTACAAGATGAGTTAGGCCTACCCATAGAAACATATTATTGGGTCGATTCTATGGCCACTTTGTGCTGGATAAAAAACGACAAACCCTGGAAACAATTCGTACGTCACCGTGTTTCGGACATTTTGAAGTTTTAGGACAGGGAGAACTGGTTTTATTGTCCAGGACCAGAGAACCCTGCCGATTTACCATCTCGGGGTAAGTTCAATCCCTCGTTGTCTGCAAATCGTTTTTGGTGGGAGGGTCCTAAATTCTTACAATCAGACCCAGAAAATTGGCCCACTTTGCTACCACAAAATGAACTTCAAAGCAAAGAAGCTTTGCAGGAAAAGGTGAAATTTGAACCAAAAGTAACTCATGTCATGGTAAGTACAGGTGCAGACCCAGATGTACAGCTGAGCAATGTTTTTGATAGTTCACGTTACAGTTCAAAAGGTAAAGTGTTGCGTACACTCTCTTGGGCTCTGAGATTTATTCAGAATCTTAAAGCAGCGGTAAAACAAACGCAACAGAACAAGGCAGACATGTTAGATGTCTCAGAAATGCCGAAATGATTCTTATTAGGGCAATTCAATCTCGTGCATACAACAATGAAGTTGAGTTTCTACTGTCTTCAAACAATCCAGACACAAAACCCCCGATGTATATAAAACAATTCAATTTGTTTCTAGATAAAGATCAGGTATTGCGATGCAGAACACGTATAAACAAATCTTCCGTTTTAGATTCGGCCAAACAACCAATTTTGCTTCCTCAAGGCAATCACTACTCATCTTTGCTTATACAGGAATGTCATCGGAAGGTCTTCCACAATGGGGTGCGAGAAACGTTAAATTTACTAAGACAGCAATATTGGGTACCTCGGGGGAGGGAAATGACAAAAAAGGTCATTCGTAGTTGCGTACTTTGCAAAAGGTTGGAAGCTTTTCCTTTCAGAACTAAGTTTGCACCACAGTTACCACAGGTTAGAGTAGACGATGCTCCCCCATTCACCAACACAGGTATGGACTTTGCTGGTCCCTTAATATTGAGTGATAAAAATGGTTCTCAAAAACATTACATATGTTTATTTACATGCATGTCAACCAGGGCCATCCACCTGGAATTAATCGAATCTTTAGAGGTTGAATCATTTTTGCGTGCATTTCGCAGATTTTGTGCATGTCGCGGCTTACCATCTATGCTGTATAGTGATAATGCTAAAACGTTCCAATCCGCAGCAAGGGAAGTGAAGAAATTACTTAGATCTCCAAGATTACACGAAACCTTTGTTTCACAGGGAGTCAAATGGAACTACATAACAGAAAGGAGCCCCTGGCAAGGAGGGGTATGGGAAAGGCTCATCAGAAGTGTGAAAAGATGTATTATAAAGGTAGTAGGGCGAGCGAGGCTAGATTTTCAGGAAATGGTTACAATTTTAACGGAGGTAGAAAGTGTCATTAACTCACGTCCCATGACATATGTTTATGATGATACTGAAGGTATATCTTACCCCCTTACACCATCTCATCTTATTAACGGCAGAAATTTGTCTCATTTACCCCATGACAGATACCTGGAAGTGGTTAGTACCTATGAAACTCTTTCAGAAAGGGCAAAACTAAACAGATTACTTCTAGGTCATTTCTCAAAAAGATGGAAGAATGAGTACTTGCTGGGATTAATGGAAGCTTACAAGCCAAAATCTCATGTAAAAGAACCAGTAGTGTCTTTGGGAGATGTGGTACTTCTCAAAGACGATCAAAATAAAAGAATGTTCTGGAAGCTCTGCAGAATACAGGAACTTATACCAGGCACAGATGGAAGTGTAAGATCTGCAAGAGTGCAGGTATGCACAAAAGAGGGTAAGATCGGTAATCAGGTATTGTGTCGACCATTAAAATTGCTTATACCTTTAGAATTACCTTGCCATTCTGATTCATTGCATTCTGCTCAAAAGCAAGCGCCCACGCAGCCTGCGCAATTGCAGCGAGACACTTCAGTTATAACCAGGTCGAAACGCAGTGCAGGAATTATTGGAGAATTCATTCGTAGAAATAATTCGAGTAAGAGCTAAATCATATGAAGAACATTACCACGTTATTACGCTATTGTATGGACATTTGTTGTATACTTAATATACATTTCCAGTTATTGCTTATCGTATTATATCCTAATTAACTTAGTTTAGTTTGATCACTGTAGTGAATCAAATCGGGGGAGTGTGTTTAGAAGTGTCGCCTTTCCTTGGGTTTGGCCTCTGTCCCAGTTCCCTCTCTTTGGGTATCCACGTGCTGGTCACGTCTTCCGGTGGTGACGCCCGAAAAAACACGCTCGCTCAACATCAGAAGCAGCACAGTCAAGGCAAAGAGAGACAGTCGTGCCGTCAACATGTAATCTTTTAAATTTATAATCAGTTCGCTTGTTTGTTGCTGAATATATCGTAAAAAGTGAAACTACAACTACTCTATGCTTTATTTCTCGGCATGCTCAACCCTACTTCACAACACTATCTTCAATCCCTTTCCTTGATGTATACAAAACCAGTATACATGGGACATTTTATAAACTTTTAGTTTAATCCCTTAACACAAGATATGTTTCGATGTTCTTTTGCACATGACTAAGGTAAATGAGGTTTTTTCAAACATAAAAAAGTCAGATTTAAAATTCTGTTCACTCTGTCTCAAAACCTGTTAAGATCAGTTAAATAGTTAAAGGACCTGGACTGAAAAAGAGATTTTAAAGGAAGTTCCCCAGGGGAAAGTCTTTATTGACCAATGTTACTATCTTCAATCCCTTTCCTTGATGTATACAAAACCAGTATACATGGGACATTTTATAAACTTTTAGTTTAATCCCTTAACACAAGATATGTTTCTATGTTCTTTTGCACATGACTAAGGTAAATGAGGTTTTTTCAAACATAAAAAAGTCAGATTTAAAATTCTGTTCACTCTGTCTCAAAACCTGTTAAGATCAGTTAAATAGTTAAAGGACCTGGACTGAAAAAGGGATTTTAAAGGAAGTTCCCCAGGGGAAAGTCTTTATTGACCAATGTTACTATCTTCAATCCCTTTCTTTGATGTATACGAAACCAGTATACATGGGACATTTTATAAACTTTTAGTTTAATCCCTTAACACAAGATATGTTTCTATGTTCTTTTGCACATGACTAAGGTAAATGAGGTTTTTTCAAACATAAAAAAGTCAGATTTAAAATTCTGTTCACTCTGTCTCAAAACCGTTTAAGATCAGTTAAATAGTCAAAGGAGCTGGACTGAAAAAGGGATTTTAAAGGACGTTCCCCAGGGGAAAGTCTTTATTGACCAATGTTACTATCTTCAATCCCTTTCCTTGATGTATACAAAACCAGTATACATGGGACATTTTATAAACTTTTAGTTTAATCCCTTAACACAAGATATGTTTCGATGTTCTTTTGCACATGACTAAGGTAAATGAGGTTTTTTCAAACATAAAAAAGTCAGATTTAAAATTCTGTTCACTCTGTCTCAAAACCTGTTAAGATCAGTTAAATAGTTAAAGGACCTGGACTGAAAAAGGGATTTTAAAGGAAGTTCCCCAGGGGAAAGTCTTTATTGACCAATGTTACTATCTTCAATCCCTTTCCTTGATGTATACAAAACCAGTATACATGGGACATTTTATAAACTTTTAGTTTAATCCCTTAACACAAGATATGCACAACAAAAATTGTGTAATATGGTAGTAAATTGTAGACAATTTCATTAAACAATTCAGTAACAAAGATATTTGCAAAATAATTGTTGTTTCCTTGTTATTTTTGATGGTTTGCTTTGTGGAAAATATGCTAGATTGTTTCCTAATGGTACCAAAAGTTCCATGATTTTCAGAAGTACCTACTAACTTTTTCAATGAAATTGACGTTTTCTCATCATCATAAAGGTCATAATTTTATTTTGCAATGTAAAGATTTTTGATGTGATCCAGCCCTTTCAATTAATGAAAAATATTTTTTGACAATTTTGCAAATTTTCATCTAAATGTTATCATATGAAATTTTTGCAGTTTCTCCATATCAAGTTTGTCAAAATAAGGCCACAAAAAAGTTTTCACAGTCCGGGTAATAGCAATTCCAAACTGTGAGAAAAAGAGGGTTGAATATAAGTAAACTTTAAATCTATTGATTCTTAATCTTTAAAGGAAGATAACTGTGATAAATACACATGAACACATCAAGACATTCCATTATCAAAAATCAACAGTAGGAATACATGTGACATTTACATAAATTGATTTTATTAATTTTCATATTCTATTAGTTGCATTTTGTTCTGTTTATAATAAAGTGGTATGCATATTGTTTCAAAAAAAAGAATATGCATATGATAAAGTTTTATCTGCATAATTCCAACATCTCAGACTTAGGCAAACTTGACACTTGCTGCAATATATCTTGGAATATCTATTAGCACAATGACAGCAACATCCATGTTTCTTCTTTGATTTCTGAGGCCAGTGAGCAATTACATCAAACAGTGTATCACTGCAAGGCACAGGTGTAATAGGAGTTCACAAGTTTTTTCTTATTATATAAGTTGTTTCCTCTAAGTATCTTTTGTTAAGTCTGCTTGGTGTGGAGGGTCTTGTTTGCTAGACATGCTTTATCTGCTGTGCTGAGTGCTTCTGAAATGGCTTTTATAAAACATAACAAAGGAAATTCTCTCCTTCTTTAGAGTGCCTATGTTTTTCACATGTCTAATTCATTTTGTACCATTAGGATTTAGGCCCAGGTTAAACGTCGTGCTTCTCATGCGCCGAACCTAATTGCTGAATTAAGTACATGAGAAGCTCGACGTTTAACTTAATTAAGTTCGACAGAATCGATTAAGTTCGACAGAACGTCTCTGGCTCGACTTGTTCTGCTGTGCCGCACGGCAGTAGCACGACACCAAGTTAAACGTCGTGCTTCTCATGTGCCGAACCTAACGCATAAATTATTTTTAATTATTTTGAACGTTAAAACGAGGTTAGGCATGCGCAGATGAGATAGGAAAAAGGCGCCAACGACAAACTTACACCATTCCGACGAGTCATCGTTCACTTCACTTTCACTCGTGTTCTTGAAAATTTAGAAGTTTATTCAATTCATATTCAGTATAACGATCATGGCATCAAATTCACGAAACATAGACAATTGCAAATCATGTATGAAGCAGACTAAATATATCTGCATAACTTGCGGGGTACCAGTCTGTACAGTTTGTTGTTTGGAGGAGTTAGATGAAGAAACCCAAGGCTGGATTCCATGCCGGAGTGTAGGCTACTGTTCTGTTTGTAAGGTGCAACAGTTTGAGTCATCAAAAGTTGAATTGATATCACCATCAAGGTATGTATTTCATATTCAAGCCTTTTCTGAATAAATATTAGTTTAGTGGGTTCCTGGTTCTTATTCTTGAATAGGCCAAATTACAAGCTTATCATTTAAAATTACTACTACTTTGCTTGCCTACCACTTTTATTTTTCTGCTTTTAGTCCTAACAGTAACAAAGAAGATGAGGAAGCAGATTTTGAAAGTGGGAATGAGAGTAATGCTGATGGGCCACCATTAAAAAAAAGAAAGAAAGAAAAGAAATCTGGCAGAAAGACAAGTTGGCCTGACACTTTACTTGCTGACTTTATTGATATCATTGTATCCAATGAATATTTCAAGAAAAAACTAATTTTCCAGAATGTCAAAAATAAAAAAAATTGTGAAATATATGGGAACATTTTAAAAGAACTTAAAAAGCGTGTTCATGCTAGAAATGAGAATTGCAACTACACTGTAATCCAGCTCCGTAATAAATTTAAGAAGGTAGTTGGGGAGTGCAAGAAAGCAGCACTTGTAATGAAAACTGCAAGTGGAATAAAGAGATTCCAAGAAGAAAAGAATTACGGAGTTTGGTTCAATCAGCTGCTAGAGCTGGTGAAAACAAGAGAAAGCTGCCAGCCGGAACAAGCCATCGAACCAAGTGAGCGATCTTTTGATTCCACAAGTGAGTGTGTTGCTCCAGCTGAATCAACACCAGAATTTTTCATCCCAGTCATGAAGGCACCAAAAAGAGTCTGGGCCTTATGAAAAACATTGCTGGAAAAGACCCAATGAGTGATTTTTTGAAATTCATGAGGGAACAAGAGGAAAGAGAAAGGAAACACGAACTTGCAGTGATTTCTTTGATCATGAACCAACAAACGATGCCACCACAGCAGCAGCAATTTCTGAATTACAGCAACATGAATCCAGTCATCCAGCAACATCCTTATGATCATAATACCATGAATCACATGGCTGGCAGCAGTTCTGCTTATAACAGCTTCATGCAAGAACTGAATAGTGTCAATGAGACATCTGAGAAAACTTTCACGAAATTGTGATGTTGAGTTATGAAAACTTTATTATCTAACAAAATACTCTTAAAAGTTAATATCTTAAAGGTTAATATCTTAAAAGTCAAATTGGAACCATAACTTTTAACAAAGAATAATGAAAAGTCACTGTGTTCAACTCTGTGTTTTCATCTATGATCATTTCTTAGAAGTCTCAGCTAATTCTTTTGCCAATTTGGACTCAAGAGTCTTCCTTATTTGAACTGCCTTGTTATCACGTGCATCAAAAATCTTTCTGCTGGTACTCATGAGAAGAAGGTCACGGATTGTTGCTCTGTCTCTTCTTTGACTGCTTTGTGGGTCAATTGATACATCCAGCTTTGAAGGCAGAGTGTCTCCACAATGAAGGCAAATATTATGTAAAACTAAACAGGCTAAGGTAGCAACTTTGATTTCGTAGACATTGCCCTCAGACTTTCGCAACAAGAACCGCCATCTTCCTTTAAGCTGGCCAAATGCTCCCTCAATGACCATACGGGCACGACTCAGTCTGTAGTTGAAATAGCATTGTTCTTTTGTCAAAACAGCATTGGTGTAAGGTTTCATTAAAAATGATTCAAAGGGGAAGGCAGAATCTCCAAGAATAAGAGGGGGGATTTTAACAGCATCTATTTGTTGGCAGATCTCTGGAATCATTTTTCCATCTTTTATCTTCTTCCACAAAGAGGTTGATTGCAAAATGATTGAGTCATGGGAATTCCCAGGGAAGCCACAACTTCCCCAAATGAAACGATATTTAGCATCCACTAATGCCATTAAAACAATTGAATAGAAGTTCTTGAAATTGTGATATTCTTTTCGAGAACTTTGGCCACCAGGTGGGCATTTAATGGGGATGTGGCATCCATCAACAGCTGCCCAACTACAGGGAAACTGCCAAAGCTCTTCCATATCTAATATCTTGCTCTGGAATTCATCTTCAGTTTTTGGCATATTATTAGATACGAATTGTTCCCAAAGACAGAAAACAATTACTTGGGTGACCTCGTTGACAATCCTTGTGACTGTTGAACGTGCTAGGCCTACCATTTCCCCTATGCTGTAAAGATAATCCCCTCTACCAAGACGATAGAGACAGATTGCCAAACGAAGTTCTGGAGAGATGGGTTCTTCAGTAAGCGTTTGTCTCTCAAGTTGCGGTCTTATTCTTGTCAGTATAAATTCAAATGTCGATCTTGATACTCTTAGTGTTTGCTTGAATCGTTTATCGTCGTAGGTAAACCACAGTTTCTCCCACCAACCTGTATTTCTTGGCAACCTTCTGCATGACCTAACCCTAGCCCGTGATGTTGTCAACTTGCCAAATAAATACGTAGCTGCCAGCAGAAACGACCTCAATGTCAGTAGCCTCTGTTGTAGAATAATGGCCATTCCTTTAATCAACAAATTTCGACGCTTACGACGCTTTGAAATTAAACTTTTCAACAGTAAGGTTTTCGCTCTGCGAGTTAAGGCCATTTTGAAAAATTATGTTGATCTTTAATCGATGGCTGTTGCTTGGATACCGCCCCGACTGTAATTTTCTGCGCATTAGGTTCGACCATGGTTCGACGTTTAACTTGGTGGCCGCGCTAACGTCGCGCTTCTGGTGAACTCAATTGTATTAGATTCGGCACATGAGAAGCACGACGTTTAACCTGGGCCTTATATTCCTTTGTGCCTCTGGCCTACAAAGAAAAATATTTGTGTGGTGAAAATGCACAAACAGCTAGAAACTAGCTTTGGTCATTGTAGGCAAAAGCCATCCTTGTGCAAAATGTAGAATTCTTTGAAGTTCCAGCTGAACTCATACCCCCCCCCCTTTAACTGCAAATTAATTTAACTGGGACAGAAAATATTTGTGGATGACCCCTAAACTTGCATTTAACTTTATCTGTGCAATTTTCCAAACTGATAGTAGAGTTTTAGCCTGAATTTTAAATTTATTTAACACTAGCACTCAGTATTATGTCTTCGTAGAAAAGAAAACACGTTCCAGGCATATGGCTGTGAACATGGCATAAGAAAACCAATATTGAAAGGCAACTTTAACTTTACATTTCTACACACAACACATATAAACATAGGGAATTTAAATGGCGGGTTCGCGAAACACCGCCAAAACTGACGTTTTTTAAAAGGTAATTTCACCCATTAGCTGTGGGGACCAATGGGGACCAATAGAAATTTTAATAGCGTCAGACTTGTAGTGACCTAATTTACACATAAACTGAATATGTTCCCACAAAAGAAAGGAAATACACGGCCCAAGAAAACATACATTTGACCAAATGCGTAAGATGGGCCTACACCATATGTGGATTACAACTCAATTTTGGTCATTTAAGTAATTTCAAAGCCGTAAATATGAGATTAGGTTATACTAGGAGAGGAAATTAGAGGTTTCTAGGAACTCTGAGAACTTTGATGAAAAACTTGGATGACCTCTTACCGTTTGAAACTGTGCCGCAAATTTCGGCCATGAGCTTCTTCAGGAAAAATATCTACCATAAAAATATCTACCTAGCTTCGCACCTCCTCTGGACATTATCTAAGGCAGCTTGCAACCAAGTAATTTCTTTCCTTTCCACTTCTAATTCATTTTTGCATTCACCCAATAGTTGTGAAATTTCCTGTTTTCCTTCAACAGATGCAACCAACACAGGCTTCTGTCTGAGTTGAAAAATCATTGATCTGCAATAAGAAAATCTTTGATAATTAATTCATGTCTCAATTTAAGTCCATTGCTATGTTTATTTCTTTCATTCAACTGTTTACTGTTTAATAAAATCACAAGAACAACATTTCTTCTGGCAAACTGACAATGATATGAGCTGACAGTCTTTCTATTAGACTCTACATGATTGACACCATAGTCAATAGAAATACTTTGGTCTGGAAACTACGTGGGGGGGGGGGGGCTTTACTTGTTTAAACTTTCAGTCAGGAAGGATGAAAAATCTTCACAATGGCGACAAGAATTGGTGAATGTTATCACCAAATACAGACAGCCTAATGACAATTTTAAAAGACAATTGAAAGCCGATTCGTTGCACATCTGTGAGAGACATTTCTTAACTGAAGACATCACTATACGTGAGTAAAGATTAGTTTTTGTCTCTGTAAATATTGATGCCCAATCCATCTACATCTATCAGGGCCTGCGGCGACGGGGGAGCCAGGGGGCCTTGCCCCTCCCACCTTTTTGCAAATTATGCCTTTTAAAGGCAGGTCATCATGTTGTGCCTCTGTAATTTTTTGTTATCAAAGTTTGCCCCCCCCCACGTTTTTGGTTTCGTCTGAGACCCTGTCCATCCATGATAAAATATGGCCTAAAACTCCTTTGAACACAAACATGTTTTGGATTAAAAATTTTGTGAAATAACTTTGCCTCAAAAAATAACACCAGAGAAAATTTTTATAGACTCATGTTCAGTAATAACAATTATTTTTGCAGACTATGGAAGAAAGCTGACAAAAAATTTTTGAAATTTGGTGTCCTTCCAACAAAGAATCTTCCAAAGAGTTTGGATACTTTTCAAAAAAGTGCATCTGAGAAGAGGCCTGCTAGAATAGTTGTGAGAGATATCGCACTTGAGACAAAACCAACGTGTTACTACAAAGATTTCAGAGATTTAAGCTCCAGGGTAAAGAAACTGGCCCTAAAGGATTGGCACGTTTTTTATGCAGAAGATAAATTAGAAATGAAGAAATTTCAGACACCCTACATCATTCCAAAATTTTGCATCACAATTGATTATGAACTTACCTTCTCTTTTTTTTTAATTGGCAAATCCCAGTTAATCATTATATTTACAATGATTTCAAAAGAACCGTAAGATTAGTATCTGACTTGATCAGAAATTTAGACAGTGCCATAATTTATCATGGGCACAATGTTGAAAGTTATTGTGGAGGATCTATCAGGCACTGTATTCCTGAAGAAGCAAAATAGCAAACTTTGAACAGCTTGCCATTTCAAGCAAAATATTTTTATCGCTCTAATGAATGCCAGGTTCTATTAAGATCTGAATTTAAATGTACCAATTGCACAGACCAAGAAACAGGATATGCAAAGAACAAAAAAGACTTGCAAACAGGCAAGCTATTCCTGCAAAACCAAAAGCACCAGTAATTCTCACTTCCTCAAAGCAATTGAAACTGACACTTCAGGCAAATAGGTTAAAATGTCGCCTTCTGGAATCCAAGATCAAAGAGATGAAGGAAGAAATCTCATGTCATAGTGTTCCAATTAATTCAGATCTGAGGCCATGATATTCTTGGGTTTATTACAAAGCATGGGGATACTGTGAGCCCTTTCATGAAACTGTTTTGGCAGCAACAACAGATAAATTCTTCCAGGAGTTCAAAAGGGCATAGGTTTCAGCCAATGATTATAAGGTGGTGTCTTTCAATAGCATCAAAATCGGCAGCAGCCTATGATGAACTGCGAGGAACTTCTTTTCCTTCTTGCTTTCACTGTCACTAATATCTTCATCTTCATTGTCGTAGCTGTCTGTTGCTGGAACTCTCTTGAAATGTGAGACATTTCTTGTTATGATATGTCATTGGTTTTTCGCGACTATCTTTTTTCCTTTTCGTTCTTGTACAATGAATCTTTCTGGGCTGAACTTTGGTACTAGCTTATTTGTCCTCTTTTGTAGACAAATAACTGTATCTCCCTCTTTTATCTCTGACTCTTTCGTATTATGTTTCTTGTCATAATATTTTTTGTTTTCTTTTTCTCGATGTTTTCCTTTGCTTGTTTATGCTTATTAAGTACCTTCCTTCTTGGCAATTCAGGTGGTTGTCCTCGAATTGATCTATTGAACAACAGTTCACATGGAGGTACTTTCGTTGTTACATGCGGAGTTGTTCGGAATGTTAGTAGGAATCTTTGGAGTTCTTGTTTCCAGTTCTTTCCTTCTAATTTTGCTGTCTGTAACTTTACCGATTGGTTTCATTAAGCTTTCAACATTCGAATTTCCTTGAGGCCAGAGTGGTGTACTTGGTTTTCACTCCATACCTAAAGCTTTGGTATATCTCTTGAACTCATTTCCATTAAATGGAGGTCCATTATCTGTCTTTAGTTTTACTGGAATGCCATGTGTCGCAAATATACGGTCCAGCTTGGGTATTACTGCTGTTGCCGTTGTGGAATTCACAATTTCGATTTCTGGGAATTTTGAATAAAGGTCCGTTACTACCGATAGATATTGCTCTGTATTTGTTCTTGGTCCATGAAAGTCAATAGCTATGGTATGCCATGGAATGTCTACTGTTGGAGTTATTTGCATTGGCTCAGGTGAATTAGCATTTCCAACTGCTTGACATGCGACACAATTTTAGACAATTTCACGAACTTTGTCATCCAGTTTTGGAAACCAGATTTTTTCTCTGATTAAACTTTTTGTTTTTTCTATTCCCTGGTGTCCTGCATGTCCTAGCTTTGTTGCTTCATTTTGAAGGCTTCTAGGAATCACCATTTTACATCCTTTCATGATAATATCTTTGGTATTATTTACTGTTATGTCTTCTGCACATCTCTTGTATGGCTGAAGCTCAGAATCCTTTGTATTAGGCCGTCAGCTACACGCTCAGAGGTGTTACCTCCGTTGCACACACTGCTAAGCTAACACATTATACTTCCTGTAAGCGTGTTTTTTCATACTGATTACATATCCGAAAAGTTCACATAATTTCAGGCTGCAGTTCTCACGCAAATACTCTTATAAGTGAACCAGTTTTTCTTGTCGAATTAAATGTGTGCGTGCTTTTGCGTGGGTTTATTTTGTCAAAGCTAAAAAATTGACCTGCACTCACAGCGATCAGATGGGCTAAAAAAGTGGTCCGTAAAGTAGTATTGCGACAGCAGTCATGGCTGCCGACTGTTGTTTGCTTCATATCGATGGATTTGAAGGGCCACTGAAGTCTTTTACCCAAACAACATGGACAAAATTTATCGAAAGCAGGAGGAAATGGCTTTTGTTGAGTGGTCAGATGAAAGATATTGCTGCAAGGTCCCTCGAATTTACTTCCGAGGAGGATGTTGATAAAACTTCAGATTACAATTTGGTTTGGAAATATCACATTCAGTGCTATAGAAGGTTCACCGATAAACAGAAAATTGATCGAGCGATGATTCAACATGAAAAACGGAAAGCAGAAGTGGATGAAGGCTGCTCCACTTCATCAGCAGTTCATAGTTACGAACCAGCAGGAAACAAGAGAACTAGGCTAACAACCCAAATGGAAGTTGGAGGTGCTAAATCTAAGGCAACTGGAAGAGATTATTTTGTTCTGCCAAAAATTTGCTTGATTTGCAAAAAAGCAGATTACTTCTACACTTGCCAAGTAAGTATGTTTCTTCATTTTTTATTTCTAGTTATATGTGTCCAAGGCAGAGTCATAAGGATATTTATATCATATCATAGCATGTCATTTCATATCAGAACATACAGATATTCAAAATTTCCCCAGTTTTTAGATAGATTTTTCAAAGTGTCAGGGGTAGGCTCATTCTCAGAAAAACATTTTTCCCAAAGCATCACAAGAAATATCTCAAAAACTTTCATGAAAAATTCCTTCATGGGAGATAACTCTCAGGATGACAGTGGATTTGATTCCTAAATTAGTGCTATTTATCATTGGTTTACATATTATATAGCAGATAAATTTCTGTAAAATGTTTAATGACTGCATAAACTGAGACTTACATTTTTCTTCACAGAAAACAAAAACAAGGAAGAAGCAAGCATTGACTCAGTGCCAAACAATTAATGCCGGAAAAATGAAGCTAGCTGCAGAAAAGAAAGAGGATGAATCGATTCTTATCCATATTAGGGATGCTGACTGTGTAGCTGCTGAAGTATGTTACCACAGAAATTGCTATATGAGTTACACCAATTTCTTAAATTTCAAAGTCAATGATCAGCCACCAGTACAACTTTACGATGAGTCATTTAGAATAATGTGAGACCAGATTGTTCAAAAGAAAATTATCAATGACAAATAGGTTATGTTCATGAGTAAACTGTACCATGAATTTAAAAAGATTGTCTCTCAGACAGAAGGTAAAAACGCATCTAATTATCAAGCCTTTCGACTCAAACAGAGGTTGAAAAACCGCTTTCCTCAGCTTGTTTTTCATACACCTGGTCACAGGAACAAAAGTGAATTTGTTTTCTGTGAGGATCTTTCTGTTGGGTCAGTAATTGAAGAAACTACAATTACAACGAATGAGATTGATGACAGTGACTCTGAGTTAGAAGATGAGAGTTGTACTCCATTAAAATATCAGAATTTAAAAGATGATAGTAGAACCTTGTTCCATGCAGCACTAATTCTTCGAAACTGCATAACTGAATGCCCAAAATTCTTCACCCATTGGCCCCCAAAAATTACAGAATTTAGTTTAGAGAATGCAAGAAGTAAAATTCCTGCCAAGCTGTCCAATTTTCTGGCATGGGCCCTAAATTTTTCTGATGAGGTGATTCAGGATGATGTGCAAATAGCTATTCCTGAAAAAGACCAGCTGAAAGTCCTTTCAATTGCACAAGACATAATATATGTAGCTTCAAGAGGCAATAGACAGACACATAAAGCACTAGGCTTAGGAATGGCTGTGAGGCAAATGACTCGCTCAAATCAGCTGACCAAGATACTGAATGGGTTTGGGAATGCTGCTTCCCATTCAGCAGTTTTGTCACTGGATACTGCTCTAGCATATCAACAGCTAAATAGTGATGTTGTTATACCAAATGGTATTGTAAAAAATACCCTGACAACAATGGTTTGGGACAACATTGATTTTCGAGAAAAAACAGCAACTGGTTTTGGAACAATAATGTGAAGAAGGTGAAATTGGTGGAGACAATCTTGATGAAGACATTTCTTCGGAAGATGAAGAAGACATGTAGTTTAATTTTTGTCAATACATGTATTCCGCTATGTTTGGCCTGCTGTCGACATCATTGTTTAATATGCTTTCATTTTATTTTGAGTTAATGCCAAAAAATTATGGCAAAAAGTAGCATTTTCTTGCAAAGTATTTTATATTTCGTAAAAAGTTTATCAAAATACTTGGGGTCCTATACGTTTATAGCTCATATTTTTTTGTTTTTTAAGATGACTGCAAAAAAAATTTCAAATTTTGAAATTTTCAAAAAGATTGCTTTGTGACGTCATCAATCGAGAATATCCGCCATTATGGAAAAACTGCAGCCTGAATCGGTGTAAACTTTTTAGATTTGAATTCTATACCAAAAGTTGTCCCAGATAACGTATAAATTTCTTAGCTTAGTAAAGTGTGCAACGAAACCTCATTTCTAGGGATCATATAAAGGATAGCCGACGGCCTATATCCCATGTTCCTGATTCAATAGCTTTCCGAACTTTCTGTAAAATTTCGTCTTTGCGTGTGGCTTCCTTTACTTCTTCCAGTGTCATGGTCTTTGGAACTGTGTTTTCGATAATATACTTCACATGTTCCTCGGCCATTTGTTCTTCTTTACTTTCGGACTGACTCTTGTTGATTGGATGTCTACTCAAATAGTCAGCTTCATTTTGCGATCCTTTTTTGTATATTACACGAAAGTTGTAGGGTTGAAGTCTTAGAACCCATCGCTCTATTCGTGCTGGTGGCTTGGATCTAGCATTATTGAAGATTGACTCTAAGGCCTTATGGTCTGTGATGACATCAAATTCTTTGCCTAGGAGAAATACGCGAAAATGTTCTATCCCCCAGACTAAAGCGAGGCCTTCTATATCGGTCTGTGAATATCTGCTCTCTACTGGAGTGAGGGCTCTACTTGCATACGAGACAATTTTATACTGTGTCCCATCCTTCTCTCTTTGAGCTAAAATAGCACCAACAGCGTGCTGTGATCCATCTACGATTAACACACTGTGTTTCTCTGTGTCAAAGTAGGCAATTACAGGTGCTTGTGTAAGTTTCTTTTTCAACTGGTTAAATGCTCTTTGTTCTACTATGGTCCATTTGAAAGTATTGTTTTTCTTTGTCAACTCTCGAAGCGGTTGTGTCAACGTGGCATAATTTGGAATGTAATCGCTACAAGTGTTTGCCATTCCAAGAAAACTGCGCACTTCCGATGCATTCTGTGGCGGTGCTGTGTTTAACAGATGTTTGACTCTCTCTGGGTCAGGTCTGGTACCTTTTTCTGTGAAAATGAGACCATAAAATTTGATTTCTTTTTGAAGAAACTTGCATTTGTCTCCTTTTGCTTTGATGTTTAGATCTGAGAGGCGTTTCAGACAAGCTTCCAACGCTCTGTCATGCTCTTTTTGATCCTTTCCGAATATGATAATATCGTCAGCGATATTCTTTACACCTTCAATGTCACTCAAATTCCGTTGTAGAATATTTTGAAACACTTCCGCTGCACTGGATGTACCGTAGTTAAGTCTTTTATACTGGTAAAGTCCTTCGTGCGTAGAGAATGTGGTGATGAAACGGCTTTCCGGCTCCAATTCAATTTGGTGATACGCCTGTTTAAGATCGATTTTGGAGAAATACTTTGCCCCATTTACTGAAGCCTTAAAGTCATTAAGGGTCGGCATAATGTGTCTTTCTCGTTTTATCGCCTTGTTTGCTTCTCGCATATCTACACATATACGTATTCCCCCGTCTTTTTTAGGAATGCAAACGATAGGTGATACCCAGGGCATGGGCTGATCGACAACCTTCTCTATAATGCCCTGTTCATTAAGTTTTTGTAGCTTCTTCTCATATGGTAAGGTATACGCCTTTGCGGTTGCATTATCAGATTCACATCGTCTTTTATGTGTGTAATTTGACTTTTTGTCCTTTCAATTTTCCCTCTCCTTCGCAAACATTTTGATATTTATTCAATAGTCCTTGAATATTTTTGTCTGTGTTGGCAAGCACGTTTGTTTTGTTTTCAGTTGCTCCTTTGTGATTAGTTGTCACTCCACTCTTTGAATCTGTTGTTTGTGATTTGTTGACTTTGTGGACTAAGTGGATTAGCATCAGTTCGTGGGCGGTTTTTCCACTTAGTAAATTTCCCCCGGATCCTTCGACGACATAAAATTGTGACACTGTGTAGCATGATTTTGACTCAATCATACCACTAAAACAGCCTTTTAATGAAAATGGTGTCGAAGATCCATATGCGAATATTTTTGTCTTAGCTGGTTCTAGCTTTATTTGATGTTGCAAACTTTCGAAGGTCTTGGAATCAATAATATTAACAGTTTCCCCATCCACTTGGAATGTCAAATCGAACGAGTCATTCAATTTCAGTTGAGTTTTTGTGGAAAGTTTATTTTCTACTTCCACTGCATAGGCATATTCATCATCAGATGAGGTTGAGAATTCATTCTTATCCTTTTTAATTGCATGGGCTTTTCCCTGTTTTCGTGTTCCCTTCACAAAATTTGACTCTTTCTTTGTTTGTGATGACTTTTGCGGCTCCTTGCTTTGGAGGGGCTTCCTCTGAGGCGTTTGGTGTTTCTTCCGACAGAGTTTGGCAAAATGGCCAATAATGCCACATGGGTCATTCCATGTCAAATCATCCAGTGAAAGGAAAATTTGTGACCATCATGTCTTGGATTTTGATTATATTTTGCACAATCAAAGCTTCTAATGAGATTACAAAAACTGCAAAATTTCAGCTTTATACCTTGAATAGTTTAAAAGTTATAGCAATCCGAAATTTATGCTGAATCAGCAAATATGCAGAAAATTGGGTGTGGTACGCACTGACCTGTATCTCCTTTAACAGTTACAATTCAAAAACTATTGCAGATATCAGGCTAAAAATTGGCAGGAAACCAAAAAACTAGCTTAAAATTTCAAAAATGCAACTTAAAAATATCTCTGATGCTTATTTACTTGACAAATCAGGCTTTTTCCTAAAATGATGAAAAAATTGAGTTGTCCGCAAATTCCTTGAAATTTAAGGGTGTGGCCAAATAGATACAAGCCCACCTTTAAGATTCATTGAAACATAATAGTTTTCTCTTAATTTAGCACAATTTTCATCAATTGTTTGTGAAGGCACAAGGAGTACCAGACATTTGAAAATTACAGTCCATTTTCACAGAATAATAGCTCTGAAACGTTAGGTGTAGCCTCATATATTTCCTCAAGATTTCAATTTATCAAAAATTGTCAATAACAGCTCAAGATTTATATAAATCTCAATTTCAATTTATTTACCACGATAATTGAACTACCAGAAAGCATCCATAACATCATGATAAAAAATCTTCAAATTTCCTGTTGATATTGTTCAAATCAATATCGCTTATAGTGTAAACCCGACCAGATGTAGTGTTGGGGGGCTCTATTTTACACATTATTTGTGTGCAAGGTACCCAGCAGACATCATCTCTTGCTGGCCATGTAAAGTTTTTACATGGTCCATGTGGATGAAGGAACTTGACTTTTGCATCTTGATTCTCATTGTCTATCTCTTCGACTAAACCTATCTACCATAAGGCATCATAGCAGCAGGCAATGAAGTCCATGGTGTTGACAGCTGCAGGTTGAGATATTTCTTCTTGCTTGTTGTTGAAATAAAACACACCACTAAACTGATCATCTTGACTTAGGCGTTTAAATTGCACACCAAAGCCATCTTGCAAAGGTTTAAAATGGTGGTAACTTCTAGTACCTGGTACAGTTTGGCCTAGCATATAACGCTGTCTTTGCAAATTTCTTACAGCCACCATTTCCTCCTTTGTTGTAATGGCAAATTCAATCTTTGGCATAGCTTCTTTACAGAATTCTACCATCGATGTAACATTAAGTATCTGGCCGCTTAAAGGTCGTTGTAGGCTAGCCCTAGCTGTTAATCTTTTGATTGCACCTCCAAGCCCATCACATGAGGATTTCCCGTGTGAAGTTGCAAAAAAAGACCATATTGCAGACAGACCAAAATCATCTTCATGTTTACAGAGATTGACAAAATTCTTAAAGTTTTTGTATTGTCCACCACATCCATCTGAAAAGTAATGCATTTCTTTGATATGTGGAAGCTTTAACTTGACGTACTCTGTAGTTATCTGCTGAACTTTGTGGACGAATGGGGTATCGTGATTTATGTCATCTGACAAAACACAAAGAGACATCTCCTTAAGCTGGTCAAAACTATCTTTATGATAGATGATAACAGGGTGCAAGGTACACTGTTGATTGTTCCAATGAAAGCTCTTCACCTCATCTTGAACAACAAATTTGTAATTTTCTGCAAAATCAAGAACAACGATACAGCTTGTTGGTGAAAGATTTTCTTTGCAACTCTTGTAAAACCTACTCTGGCATTTGGCAACAAATGAATGGGTTGTCAAATAATTTATTTTGTCAACAAGAGTGTCTAGAAAACTGTCAGTGCTAGCTTTTACTGTTATCAGAGTTGGTCGATCAGTGCTTTGCCACTGACTGTACTCTATTTCATCAATTTCTTGTCTCGCCAATTCTGCAGTTATGAATTCCTGAAGTGGCTTTGTTCCAGGGCACTCTGGGCAGCGATGTATCATGCATTCACTGTTTTCAATATTACATACAATCATCTTCATCAAATCCTTGTATGTATGACTAACGCCTAAAGCACTAGCTAACAAGATTGCATTTTGATGATATGTGCAGACACAAACAGCATGAGAACCAGGAGTTCCAACAGGTACACACCATTTTGGACGCAGACTACAAAACTTGGAAAAACCTATTTTCATATGTGAATTTCTTTGTTTAAAGGCAATATAAAGTTCCTTGAGGTTACAAAGCAATAATCGCTTTTGCACATGCTTGTTTCTTCCTACACTGACAAAATCCTTCTTTCCTGGTAATAACCTTGTATATTCATCATCTTCATAAAATAGACCTACTGCTTCCTCTACATAGACTTCAATGGATTTTCCATTCTTAGGCTCAGGATCAGCTAATATACCCTTTGTTTCTTTCAATGAACGGGCAGTTCGGATAAGATACTCTGAAACACCAAAGAATCTTGCAGCATCTTTTCTTGACCAAGATTCGGGCACCAGAGTAAGAATTTTAAGTTTCTCTCTGTAGGATGAAACATTTAACTTTTCTTTCAAAAGGTACATGAGCTTGTCAAAATTTTCAGCTTTACCTTCAAGTAATGTATTTGACTGTTGTGTGCTACAGGTTTGCTCTAAATCTTGAACATCAACACTAATAGCATTTGCTGTTTCAGTTTCTTGTGCCCTGAACACTCTGTTAAGCTTTTCCTTTGCAAACGATACTCTCCTTCGTTTCTCGATGCCATGAAACTTTATCGGTGAAACACCACATAGTTCCAGACTGGTATTTACAATATCTCTAGAAATTTCAGCATCATTGATTTCTACATCCTCTCCCTCTTCCTTTTCCTCTTCATCCATCATATGTGAGGTTTCAGACTGGCTTTTATCATCATATTCAAGTATTTGGTGGTAGCAGTTCCTGCAAAGCTTCCACCCAGGCAAAACATTGAACCCCCTTTCTTTTAAATCTTTTGCAAACTGGAGGGATATTTTGAGGCTACCTTTGTTTTTCTTTTTGTGTCGCTTAAATGGATCACAACAGTTTATGGACTTTCTTTCAAATACTTGTCCAAACATCATTTCGTGGTGTTTGCAAATATTTCCACCATCATCTAGTTGGTTCAACCTGCTTCTCCATAGAAGTACCTCTTGATGTTCTCTTGGTAAGTCAGATAAAAGAGTTAAATGCACTCTTCTTGTGAAAGATTTTTTGTGGCACAAATCATCTAATAAATTCCCAAAACTACAAGGCTGCATTTCCATCTTGCTTCTATGAGAAAACTAACCAAAATGCTAGAACCTCCTCTTTTATTATTGCTCAACATGAATCTTTCATCATCAGATTAACACACCCACTCAATGCATTACTCATTGCAAAAATGAAGGCAATAAAAATATCTCTATAGGTGGGGAGGAAGCATTTAAATGATGTGTTAACTATCATTAAATCAATTTACACCTAAGCATGATTTCCTATTACTTAACAATCTAGTCTAGGAATCAATTTAATACCCAGCTTGCTTTAAACATAACTGTGAGCACAGAAGAATTTATTGCCTTGATACTTAATTAGAATTTTGAAGAGAAACCTGAAGCTGAATGCTAACTGTAAAAATTGACTAAAATTTCTGACAGAGCAGAAATATTTGAAATTTTCTTACAAATTTGGTGTTTTGGGGAAAAGGGGGTAATAGCTTAAGGCTAGAGCACTCTGCTACCCCAGCCACAGCTCCCTACATTTGCTGGAAATATTGTAAACAAAACAGCACCAAGAAAATACTTCACAATTTAAATGATATGGATTTGAACAAACCAACAGGACATTTTGTATTTATATTGATGCTTTGCATACAGCCTGTTATGGCTGTAAATGAATTGAAATTGAGATAAATATATATAAATCTGAAACTGCCAAATAATAGTTTTTTTGATAAATTGAAATTTTCAGGAAACATTACAATGAAATTTAGAGAGATATGAGGCTACACCTAATGTTTCAGAGCTATTATTCTGTGAAAATGGACTGTAATTTTCAAATGTCTGGTACTCCTTGTGCCTTCACATACAATTGATGAAAATTGTGCTAAATTAAGAGAAAACTATTATGTTTCAATGAATCTTAAAGGTGGGCTTGTATCTATTTGGCCACACCCTTAAATTTCAAGGAATTTGCGGACAACTCAATTTTTTCATCATTTTAGGAAAAAGCCCGATTTGTCAAGTAAATAAGCATCACAGATATTTTTAAGTTGCATTTTTGAAATTTTAAGCTAGTTTTTTGGTTTCCTGCCAATTTTTAGCCTGATATCTGCAATAGTTTTTTAATTGTAACTGTTAAAGGAGATAGGGGTCAGTGCGAACCACGCCCAATTTTCTGCATATTTGCTGATTCAGCATAAATTTCAGATTGCGATAACTTTCAAACTATTCAAGATATAAAGCTGAAATTTTGCAGTTTTTGTAATCTCATTAGAAGCTTTGATTGTGCAAAATATAATCAAAATCTGAGACATGATGGTCACAACCTCTGGATGATTTGACATGGAATGACCCACATGAAGAGCAAACTGCCTGTTTTGCTGGGCATGGTTTGTTTCTGTGTGGATAACTGAATCTGCATTTATAACAGGTATGCGAATTTCTTTGACGTGCAGCTCTTGGAAACTGTCTTCCATACCAGATGCTTGAGCTGAGCTCATTTCCGCTTTTCTGCCATCGATCAGCATGTCTGCAAGCTTGGAATCTGGTTCTCGGAGGGCTTTTCTCCTAAGTCGAGCTGACTTTCCATTACACACGATTTGCATCTTAATCTCGAAGTCCTCGTCGTTAAATTTGCAATGTTTTGCAAGTGTGCGAAGTCTCGTGTGGAATTCATCGATAGTCTCCCCTGTGTTTTGTGTTGCCTGACGGAAATTGTAAATTTCGAATATTTGATTCCGGTCTGGTTCGAAGTGTTTAGTTAATGCCTCAACTGCTTTTTGCTAATCTTTTTCCTCTCCAGTATCAGGTAACGTTTTGAAAGACTTCGGGTCCAGCCTGATACAAAAGCAAAGCTCGTTGTCTCTGCGGTTCTTTGACATCGGCAGCAAGCAAATACGTTTGGAATCTCTCCAGCCAGTTTGTCCAGCGAGCTCCAGTGTTAGTAATGTCACTTTTTGGTTCGAAGACTGGCATAGGATTTATGTTATTTGTTGCCATCCTACATTCCTTTTTCTCCTTTTAACTCGTCGCCATTGTAGACTTCGTAAGCAAAAGATAAAACACGTCCGTTCGGGAGATCGCTTCATATATAAGAATACAATAATATCATATGCGCAGGCATATGACGTCATACATTAATGTTAATAATATTATTGATAACTACTACAGTTGACACACTGTTGGGTGTTTGCTGCGGACATGTGACAACATGGAACTTGTTCCACCACAATAACTTAAATGATCTTCGCACAGCTTACACCTAACTTGTTTTTCGTCTATTTTTGCAAAATATTCCCAAACCAAACTTGATCTTTTTATCATATTTCCAGTCGCTCATTGAACACAAAATTATGTCGAAAATGATTTTCACTGTTTAAATGAATGTTAAAATAGAACTTACTCAGTAAAGTACTAGCAGTTTTTCCGCTCTAAAATGACTCCTAAACAATGCCACATATGACTTCCTATTTATACGATTTTTCTAAGGTGATTTTAGCATCTTTACATCATACCTTGCTGACAAGGGCCCCCTCAAAGCAAACTACGAAGCAGTTGCCATGGAAGGCGATTAACTAAATCACAGTAAACAGCATTCCCAGCCTATTTTAAGCGATTGATAAGTAAGGTTCAAAATAAACCTAGTTACGTAATGTCTCAACACCATTACCCAGAAAAGCTTCTCATATCTTTTATCGTAGACGTAAAATTCTTAGATTTGGAAGTGGCAAAAAATTACTGAAGTGCAGAAGACTAACTCATTGAAATTTAGCTCTATCAAAGAATGCAACTCCAGTAAATTATTCAGATTCGAAAACTATTTTTGTAATATTTTCCTTTATTATAGGAGAACCCATTCGGCGTACCCTGATTAGCGAATTCTCCCGTCCCCATATCAGGATCGCCTCGATGCCATATCTCAAGTGTCCATAAGGCTTTGATGATTCAGAGCTTTATAAATGCTCTTTGATAAACCTGAACCAATTCTTTGCAGGTTTACCAACGCTATGCAGACCCCCTACCCACCCAGTTTGCGTACCGATGCAGTTTTCCCCGCAGCATGCATGCATGTTTATTTTTGATCTGTCATCGCTATTCGATCAGTCATCTAATTCGACTAGTCATTGCTATTCGGTCAGTCTTGTTATTCAATCAGTCACTGCTATTCGATCAGTCATCGCTATTCGAGCAGTCTTTGCTATTAGACTAGCCGTTGCTATTCGATTAATCGTTGCTATTCGAATAATCGAACTATTCGGTTACACCCGAATATTTGATTAGTGTATGACATAACCGAATACCTAGCCAAGCAACCCAATATCGATTATTCTACCTTCGGTGGACAGGCCTAATTTCAGCTAAATTATGATATTTCTATTGTAAAAAAAGAAATACATAAAGCACATGTTGAGAAAATTGTATCACCACAATATTATGAATTTAAAGCATTGACATTTCTGTCCCATTTAAAATACTTAATTTTAGGAGACTGCGACATCTATAGTTTTTGGCAGCTCTGCAGCAAATATGAGTTTACTTCCAGGAACAAATTACAAAAAATCAGGAAGCATATTTCTGAAAAGAAAGGTCACTTGGGCAATTCTGATGAGCAATCTGCTCATTTAAGGGTGGCTTGCCAAGAAGGGCTTATTCTTCATTTATTCTCAATGTGCCCACCCCAGTAAATTTTGAAGTCAAGTCCCCTTAGGCCTAAATCATACTTACTAGTTCATTTTCAGTTAGGAAAGTTTCTTGCTCATTCTCCTCAGGAACACTTTGATCATCGTTTTCTGAGACTGCAGGCAGGCTTACATCTTCCCGAAGAACATCACGTATAAACTACAGTAAAAGATTGTAAACACCATAAATTGTAAAAACCCAATCAACCTCATATGGCCTTAAAGTGCCATGAACAAGTAATTCCAAAGATGAAGTGGTTGAAGATTCGAAAACAACAATTGGTAACTTTAAGTTCAAAGATAAGACCTACCTGTCGATGGGCGCTGCCTCTGCCAGGCTTTGTTGCCTTTGCTGGCGATGAAGATGATGAGGGGCCATATAAGTCTTCCTGCTTCCACTGCTGGGGGTAAATTGTTGGAAAGGCATTTATCCCATGTTCATCCTGTCTCAATGTTCTTGAAAATTTTCTATCGAAACCACGCAACTGATCAGTGGTAAGACATCGCTCAAAATCTTTGGCAGTGAAATGCTTCAAACAGATTGCGGAAGATTTTTTATTGACTAAAAATTTTTTTCCTTGACTAAAAAGTTAGCATCTGGTGCGTGTATTATGGCAAAGTCGTTTTTGCAAAATTCCAATTAGTTGAACAACATTCAGGAATCAGCTACAGTATTTGATCAGTTACGATTTGCCAAGGTTTCTCTAAAAGCATCAAAATGTGTTTTTCAGAAGAGTATGATTACACCGTCCAGTATATTTGCGTTAAAACTAATATCAAAGCTGACCTACTCTCACGCAACAAAAATGCCTCTTCTGCACAACCAAATTCACTATTTGAAGACAAAATTTATGCAACCTTTTTCAGCCATTTATTTCTTTTAAAGAACAACTATTGGAAGAACAGCACTCAGATCCAGTTGTCAATAGTGCTAAACATGCTGTAGAAAATAGCCCATGCATTTTACAAGGTTGCTTCAAGAGAATCCAAAATCAACTCCAAATAGAGTACAGTGTTTTAACAAAATCAGGTCGTCCAGTTATTCCAACAAATTCGTTATTTCTGAAGTTCATAACACGGCACATTTTGGTACTGATATGAATGGCTACGTGAAGAATTTCATTTCTTTTTATGTACATTGTCAGCAAACTAAACGCAACACTGCCCCTCCTAAAGCACCTTTAGTCGACATGGTAATCCCTGATGCCCCAATGCAATTCATCTGCATTGATATTGCATATATGCCTAAGATTAACAAAGGTTTCGAAAATTTTCTGCTCATAGGTGACATTTTCTCTAAATATATTGAAGCAGTCCTGTTAAAAGATCAAATGATGTCCTCAATTATTACAGCACTCTTGTCTAAAAGGATCTATATTCATGGTATACCATTATAAATCCGCAGTGACCAAGGATCTAATATAGATAGTCAGGCATTACACAAGCTTTGCAATGTATTTGGCATCGAGAAACAACTTTCATCCGCCTACCACTCTCAGGAAAATGGTTTCACAGAGAAAAATATTGGTAGCGTCAAGAACATCCTTCGCTCCGCCCTCTTACATTGTTCGTTGAACCAATCCAAGTGGTCCACAATATTGCCTGAATTAATTTTTGCCCTAGATACGAGTGTCAGTAAGGCCATAAATCATGTACCTTCTGATCTTGTGTTTGGCAGATCTGCACACCTCCCTATCGATGTTCTATTCGCTACTGCTGACCATACTTCGATGGATTCAAACAAACAATGAAGACGGCCTATGATGTTGCAATCGGCAATCTCCAATTAAGTAGATCCAATATGCAAAAACAATATAACAATAATATTCGTTTTAATGACTTTCCACAAGGTGCAAAGGTACGTTAAAGTGAAGTATCATAAGACGGCGAGAATCATAAACTAGCTCCCCGTTGCCGGGTTCCATGAACAGTCCTTCAAAAGTTACCTAGGGGAGTTAATTTCAAGATTGAAAACGACCAGACTAAAGAAACAAAAACCGTTCATCATGTCTGCTTAACACCAGTTGTCATGGACAAAAACACAGATCGTCCTGTTCAAGACGTGATGTTTTGTGATCGTTCCTTTCATCAAGATGATATTCTGGATTGTATCGCATCAAAGAAAAAAGACTCTGAATCCGATGAAGGAAGGGTGTATACCAGTTCTGACGAAGACTACACTATCGATACAAACAATGAGGTATTTCATGATGACAATGAACGACCCTACAGACGATATCATTTGCAAGAAAGAAGAGCACGTCATTTTCCTGAGAACATTCCATGGACAGCTATTGCCTTACACCTATATTCGCCTTAAGAACGTTACGTAATATCTGCCCTTGTACATAATTCTGTTTTGTTGTGTTTTGGAAATTTCCAAGGCTACAGCTTGGAAACTAATGGAAATAGTGCTAGTAAATAATTTAGTCTAAGTTTAACTACTTATATTAACAACTTCAAAGATGGCAATGTAATTTATACCTTTGTTTATAAACATTAAAATAGCTAATGTCAACATTTGGGAGAGCATGAAATGACTGACCTAAAGGCATGGACATGAATTCCTGAGGTGACTTACTATCTCATGTAAACTGCGTTTATCATATGAAAAAAGCAAAGCGCCAAAATTGTTGATTTATTTTTAGCGCAAAACTACCCCCTTCTTTGAATGCTCGTACAAAGTCAGAACTAGCAAAAGTCAAACCAAATGAACATGGGGGTCTTACTCTCCATGTATCTTTTTTAACCAACATGAAAGAGAGAAAGCATTCACCAAAACAAGATTCAAAATTGGAAAAGGCAGGAAAATGCTTCTCAAAAGATGAAATGTCACAATTTGACATTGATGCCAGTGTTGCCAATAAAAGTTACTCTACCACGCATTAATTTTCAAATACTTTTGTATGCTCATGAAACATTCGAAAATCCTCTCAGACTTGTTGGCAAATATCTTTACAAAATTGCAACACAGCTGAGAAGACCTATCAACCCAGAACAGAGATAAGCAGTAACTTTAGATGTTTGGTTACTGGGGACTGGGGTATTATGAGCTTGTAGGGTGGTATTTTGTAGTTAGCTGTAGTTTTGTTCATTGCGATCTATTTTTGGCGAGTCTTGTTAGGATAAAGGCTATTGTTGAGGTTGAAGGTGTATAATGAAAGTCAGTGTATAATGTTTCAGGCAATTCTGAAGTTCCTTTTCATTTATCATTTGCTTCATGTGATTAATTCGGCATTCATTATATTTTAGTAAAAAATGTTGCAAAGCTGAACTGTGTGATACTTCCAGGAGAGATGCTCATCCATAAGTATTTTACATACTGGGTTCTTTGAATTTCCTGTTTGCCAATTCTGAGTTTGATGTTTCCTGATAATTTCTTTTGAGGGAAGTGAAAAAGTACAAAATTAGTTTTTCCGATATTAAGAGGAAGCTTGTTTGAGTCCAGCCACAATTTTACTTTCTTTAGTTCTTTGTTAACTTTTCTTGTAAGCAGAGAAAGATCATCTGATTCACAATAGATGTTTGTGTCATCAGCAGTTCACTAAATACAGAGAGGAGAGGGATTGATCTCTAATAAGATGTCCTCGAGGCAAGTCCTTTCTTAAAGATTGGTACTACCTTGGCAATTTTAAGGATATCAGGAAAGGTTCCTGAGACAAAAGATTCATTAATGAGAAAGGCAAGATCACAAGGTGCTTGAAGCATTTTTAGTAGCTTCACAGAGATACTACTGGCTCTTTGGATTCTTTGGATTCCAAAGAGAAGTTCTTTGGATTTTCTTTTTGATACTACTTGCAACATTAGTAAAATAGTTATTGAATTTAGTGGCTATTTTAACAGGATCTGATATTTTAATGCCATCTTTGTCTTTTAAAAATTAAGTGGTTTCAATACTTCCTGGCCTAATGCTAATTATGCCTTTTTTTCCTTTTCATAACATTTTCATGTTCTTTTTATGTTCATCAAAATACTTATGGTAGTAAATTTCCTTGCTTTCTCTTATTTCATTCACAATACGGTTTCAGAATTGCTTTCAGAACAGAATTGGTTAATTTGAAGTGATGGAATAGATTATCTCTAATTTTAATCATTTTGTGAATGTGCAGATTGATCCATGGTCTATTTCTAAGCTTCATAGCCTTTTTTGATAACTTTTTATTAGGGCAATGTTTGTCAATAAGATAGTGGATATTAAGCAGGAGGGTGTCAACTTTTTTATTCAAATCAATGGCATCATCCTCTGGAAAAGGATTTTTCAATAGCTGTATAGTTTGCAAGAAAGTTGTTTTCATTAAAATTTTTATTATCATTAGCAAAAACGGATGAAGCTTTGTACTCAGGGATGTTGTCATACAGAACAGCAAACTGAGGAAGGTGGTTAGAGATTAAGGATAGTATATGCTACTTTCAGTAGAATTATTTATGTATACATTGTCAATGATAGTAGAGGAAGTGTCAGTAATACACAATGGATGTAGAATGCATGGCTGGAAGTGATGGGATAACATCATATTCACAAACTCATCTGTAGCAGTGTGACTATCATAATTTCTAAGAAATAGAAGAATACACAGAAGAACAATTTTTCTAAATATGTTAAAATATCCAGCTCTGTTTTAGGTAGATTATTAGGTAGTGACATTCTAGATCAACATTGAAATCACCCATAATAGCAAATTGCTTATTTTCCTCTGCTGAATTTTCAATTACCTAAGTCCAATCATTGAACTTAGTGATTTCAGAAGGAGAACATTGTCAGTTACCAAGGTGAATGGAAATAATGAAGCATTATTTAAAATTGAGCATTTTAGGCAAATCCATTGTTTGTCTTCAGATTCATCTACAAAGATTTTCTATTCCGAATCAGAAATGTTGTTGCATTTAAAGTGGACATACACCAATTTTTTCTATTTTATTATTTGAAAGTTCTTAATGAGAGATGATCAACACCACACAAATTTTAAGGATCCGACTTATAGTTCTGATTTTATTGCAACTTTAAAGTGCGAAATCAGCACGTTTTTCGTTCAAATTGTGGTTAAGGGTCGCGTTTGCAAAGGTCTGGAGATGAACCTCAAGTGACGTAAAGTAAGGAACGATCTGCCACCACTCAATGGTTTCGGTCAGTGAGTATGTACATAAGTTGAGCTGTATTTAGTGGAAGAACTTTTTTCTCAGATTCCAATGCGGAACAGGTGTGTTGTAGCGTGTTGCAACAATGTCTCAGATTGTGACAAAGGCATTGCTTTACACAGAATCCCATTTTGTGGTTATATGTGCCCAGAAGACGTGAAACAACGACAGAAATGGATGGAGTTTGTTAAGCAGAAGCGGGCTAAATGGGTAGACACGAAACATAGTGTAATATGTTCTTTGCATTTTGCTCCAGAGATGTTCGAGAGACGATTTCCAATGAGCGATGAAGGGGAGAAGCCACGGTTACCGTGGTTGATTCCCGACGAAATCAGTTGAGCAGCGTATCCTCCAATACATTTTCCTGCTGGTGAGGACGATAGGCCTAGTCGAAAGAGCAACCGAGCTCGAAGAAAGGTAGGTCACAGTGTAGATATTTAAGAAGCTAAGTGCATTAAAAGTCAATTTTATATCAAATAAAGGTTGCTTTTTTTGCAATGGCATGTAAATGGCGAGCTGTCTAAGGAACACTAGAAGACAAGCCTGAGTGCGAGAAGACTCTGGGGCTTTGGGCCCCTTTGCACGAACTTGATTTAAAACTATGAAATTTTTTACCAGAAACTTTCATTTTCTGACAACAAACGAATTTTATTGATGTTGAATTGATGTCCAAAGGGAACAACTTATTGCTCCAACAGGCAGCAACACCAAAATAGTTTAGTTGTCAGCTGTTTTCATATTTTACCCTGACTACCTAGTAACTACTCATACTCATATATTTCTGCCCAATTTTTCTAATGACAGCTGGTTAAAGATATTCTTAAAGTTTCACAAAGAACAAGTCAACAAGCTGAATTTGAAAAAGCCATGCATGATAGTTTTGAAGCTGAAGATGTAAGCCAGACAGAGATCTTCGATGCTGAAGAAATTAACAGTGAGGCATTAGTTG